CGGGCGTCCCCCCCGGGCCCAACCGCCCGGCCCCAGCCCCGCCGGGCGGCGTCCTCACTCAGAAAAAAAGCAGGTGATGATTTTTAACTGGAGCCATATCAGCAATGAGATGTATTCGAACATGCTGGAAGGGCGGCGAAAGAGACAGACTGGCGCCACCCAAAAACGACAAATACAAAATGAATTGGCATCTGCACAGAGATCTGGGCGTGATGCAGTCAGATTCGTCAAGGTGTTTGTCGAGCGCATTTTGAAAATTTGTGTGCCTTCCTTTCGTTCTGGGATTTGAGCTTGTGATCTCGTGCCGAGGAGGCTAGTGTGTTCCTTCCATCCAAAACGGGGTTGACGTGCCACGACAAAAGAAGAATGGACTGAATGCCTAGCTTACGCATTTTGTAAATTGGTGTGCGTTCCTTTCGTTCTGTATTCCTTCCATCCAAAACGGGGTTGACACCCCACTACAAAAGAAGAATGGACTGAATGCCCAGCTTTCCCCGGGCGCCCTGGGCACCCTGCCCAGCCCAGGTAGGGACCACGTCCGGGGTACCGGGGGCACGTAAAAAAAAACACGAGTTTTTTTTTTTTTTTTTTTTGCTGCCAGACCTTGCTGCGCTGTGGGAGTAGTGCCCAAATCCGGCCTCTTTTTCATTTTCATGCATGTTGTGGGGGGAGAGGGCTTGCAGGAGGAGTCTGGATTATCGACTGTCCGTTTGCGGGGTGGGGGATACAGCAGCTGCTGTGTCCCACCTGTGTTGGAGCGCCACGTCAGAGGGATGAGGGAGGACAAAGGAGTGCCAAGTCAGGAGGAGGAGGGAGAGAGGACGAAGGAGGGGCACATCAGAGGACGGAGAGAGGACAGAGGGGCGCCACGTCAGAGGAGCGAGGGAGGAGGGAGAAGGGAGGAGGCAGGGGGCAAGGTGATGGAAGGGGTGCGAGGAGGGAGGAGCGCAACGTCAGAGAAGGGAGGAGGGCGGCAAAGAAGAGGAAGAAGAAACGAAGGAGGATCCCAGGATTCAAATTTGAATCCTGGATCAGTGCGCGCTGTTGATCAATGCAGATCAACTGCCAGAAACGAAAAAAAAAAAACTACAAAACGGGCCCCTGCTGGACCCCCCAAAAAAGCGCGCCCACTGCCAAAAAAGGCGGTGTTTGGAACAGGGCAGCGGCATGAAAAAAAAAATTGAGGCTTTTTCTGCCTCGGTAGGCGCCCGGGTGCCTGCTCGGGGGGGTCGCCCGGCTGGGCGTCTCGGGCGCCATCCCGGGCACGGTTGGGTACCCCGGGCGTTTCGGCACAGCTCCATGAACACGTCCAGATTTAGGAGTCTAATCCAATCTATGCTGGTGGGACCTCGCCCCACGCCTCCTGTGTATTTGTATTCGAACATTGCTGCAAGATCGACCGAATCGACCTTATGGGCAACAGTGCAAAAGACACCACCACAAACACCAATTCACCCAGACTGGAACGACTCATGGAAAACGACCCCAGCCCTCCTATGTATTTGTATTTGAAGATTGCTGTGCAAATGACCAAAACCACCCACGGGCGCCAGTGCAAAAGACACCACCACAGACACCAATTGAACCAGACGGGAGAATTGTGGAAAAAGATCGATGGGCGACGCCAATTTGCCCAGACTGGAAAGAATAGTGGAAAACAACAGGCGCGCACCAGTACAAATGACAACTTGTCCAATACGGAAAAAAATTGTGGCAGGTGCCGCCACAAATGACAAACTCGCCCAAAATGGAAAGAATCATAACAGGTGACAATTTGGCCGAGATGGAGAGGATCACAAAATGCCGGAAAAAAATAATTGCGACGGCTTAACGAACAAACAGAACACCGCCACAGGGTTTGAGGCCCTCACCTCAAAATCAACAAACAGCCTCTGGGAAATCTACGGGACTTTGGGAATTCTTTTGCCTGGGCCCATTGGAAAGTGTCTTTATTATTTTTTTTATATCTTAAAGGAAGAAGAGGTCCACGCGTGACGCTTCCACAGGGCCCAGGAAAAATCGGACAGGGAGTTCCGCGCGGGGTGCTGCAAGGGACCATGGAGGGTGTGTTGGTTCGCGGGGGCCGTATCGAAGAGGGTCGTTGTTACATGCTGCGCCTGCAACAGGCTGCACGGGCCATTTTCAGGCCCGTGTCGTTTTCAGCGTGAAAGCCTGAAAACGAGGGCCTACAGACCCCGTGTTGTTTTCAGGCCAAAAGCCTGAAAACAAGGGCCTACAGGCCCCGTGTCATTTTCAGCCTGAAAGCCTGAAAACGAGGGCCTACAGACCCCGTGTTGTTTTCAGGCCAAAAGCCTGAAAACAAGGGCCTACAGGCCCCGTGTCATTTCAGCCTGAAAGCCTGAAAACGAGGGCCTACAGGCCCTGTGTCGTTTCAGGCTAAATCAGGGCCTTTCCGGCCCTGAGTATTTTCAGCCTGAAACTGAGGGCCATTTTCAGGCCCTCATCAGTTCGACCTGCCCTGGCACCAGACCAGGGTTTTATCTCAGGCCATTTTTGGCCTATTTTCAAAACAACCTTTGTTTGAGCTTCAACCCCAGGGTCTGGCGCGTTTTGGCATTGGCAAGAGCAGCCTCCTGGACGGGCCAGCACTATATAAGACTGGCCCGCCCTGCAGGCTGCAGGTAGTTGGGAAGTAGTTCCTAGGTACTTCCCAGGCACTTCACGTGCAGGCAGGAGGCAGTCAGTAGTCTTCAGGATTCGGCAGCAGCACTCTGGAGGAGCGCTGCAGGAGTAGTAGTAGCGTTAGCATTAGTCTTCAGCGCTGGGCGCTAGTAGCGTTAGCTGTAGTCTTCAGCGCTGGGCGCCATAGCAGCTAGAGTA